CCCCCCTGCCCTGCTCACTCGAGTCCCCTCGGGAGGTCCCTCCAGGTACTCCGGGAGTCCCGGGAGGCACCTCCTGTACCCGGGCCGGCCGGAGGGCTACCGGGGCCGCGCCCTGAAGAGGGTGGACGTCGAGAAGCCCCAGTTGTCCCCGAAGCCTCCCCTCGTCGGGCCCTCCTCCCGCCAGGCCGTCCCGAACGGCGGCCGTTTCAACTTTTAAAGGGAGCAGCCCACAGCCTCCAGCGTGGGGGGCGCCCGAGTCCTCTCGGCCGCGAGCTGGACGCTCTTCAGGACGTCTCACCGCCCCCTCGCCCCGCACCTCCAGCCTTCCCGACTCGCAGAGTCTCCCGAGGCCCCTTTTCGCCTCGGGTTTATTTATTGACTGTCTTTCCCCCTGTCCTCGAGAGAGGAGTGGGAGGTGAGAAGCCCGTCCCCTCAGTGAGCCAGCATTTCGGGGGGAGCTGGCGGACTCCCACTCCCCGCTCCCTTCCAGCCAAGCTGCCTTAACTCGCCCCTCGGGGCTCCCGCAGAGACTGGGCCCCGGGCGGGCCGCGCGCGCTGTGTCCAGAGTCCTCGGGCCTCCCGGGTCTGGGACGTGCCTCTCCTACTGTGTAGGAGCCTCCGCTTCCCAATACAGCCGTGTCCGCAGCCGCTGCCTGACTTTACTCGGGCAGGGGAGGGCGGCAGTCGGTCGGCTCGCTCTGGGCGCCCTCGCCCTCTGCCTTTATCTGGGCCCTGGGCTCTCCCGGGAAAGGGGATGGCTGCGGTCTCGCCGCGGGGGGAGTCTGGAAAGGTTTCCTAAAGGAGACGAGCGAACTAATGGTGTCGAGGTGAGCCAGGGCCCGGGAGACCCCGTAAAGTTTAGTTGAGGCTGGGGAAGGCCCTCGGAGCTCGTTTCTGGATCGAGGTAAGAGGGACTTTCTTAAAGGCCTAGTCTATGGGATGGGGCGGCGGAGGGAATTTTTTGAGAAATAAAATGAAGCTATAGCGTACGTTACTTGAAGTTCTACATCAGAAAATCTTGTCCTGAGGAGAATTTGGCTGGAAGATTTGGGGTCGCATGAGGGGTAGGCTGCAAAAAAACAGCAAAGGATTCGGCCCTGTCGGAGGCAAGGGTCTGCCCCCAGCTCTTCCCTAAGGCGAGGACCCCGCGGAAAGCTGGACCGGAGACGAGAGCGCGCGCGGCGTCACACGCACGCTTAGCCACCTCCCAAGAAGCCGCTGCCGCGCTCGAGCTCCGCGCGCTCAGGACCAGGTAGCGTGTGGCTGTTGCGATGCTCCCTTTGCTCCGGTTGGGACTGGCTGCGGATATCTGTCCATTATCCCCGACACCAATGAGAGGGACGAACAGGACCACCTGCCCCGCCCACCACCCTCGCGCTAACGACGCTTAAGGCCTAACGCAGGCGGCAGCTGGTGCGAATTTTTATTTTTATTTTTGGAGACAGGGTCTTGTTCTGTCACCCAGGCTGGAGTGCAGAGGCCTGATCTCGGCTCACTGCAACCTCCGTCTCCCAGGTTCAAGCATTTCTCCTGCCTCAGCCTCCCAAGTAGCAGGGATTTCAGGCATGCATCACCACGTCCGGCTAATTTTTGTATTTTTAGTAGAGACGGGGTTTCATAATGTTGGTCAGGCTGGTCTTGAACTCGTGACCTCGTGATCCGCCCGCCTCGGCCTCCCAAAGTGATCGGATTACAGGCGTCAGCCACCGTGCCCAGCCGAGCTGATGCGAATTTGCAAATGGGGTTTTTCACCCGCACTTGGCTGCAATGTCCGCCCAGTTCGAGCCCCACATTCTCCCGCTGGCGCCGCCTGGGGGCCGAGCCAACCCTTGCTGCTAAGGAAGCCTCACCAGTCCCCTTCCCGTTTGCTACCTAAATGTCCTTGGCGGGAAACTGCTGAGAACAATTTGAGGAAGAAGCCTGAAGTTGTTTCTAGTTCCGCGCTTTATTATTTGTGATCATGATTGGTCAAAACTTCGCCCGGAGCCTCCATTTGCTCATCTGAAAAATGGGTTTGAGAAGCTCAAATACTAGAATGTGAAAACGCTTTCTAAAGGCAACGGCATGGTATCTTGTGAGATAGTAATTTCTTCAGACTAGCGCATAAGCTATTCCTATTCCTAACTTTGCGATCTGTTTTCACTAGGCAATCTCTTTCCCTTTGTATCCTTATACTTGTCATCTATAGATTTTACCCTCAGGGCTTTTTTTAATGCTCTCTGAACATTACTCCCATTTCAGTTAAGCTTGTCTGGCCAAATTTGGTTGTCCTCCAGACTCTGACCTCTTTTTTGCGTGGCGCTTGTTTCACCAGGTTGAAGTGGTCCTTTAGGTCTCAGTTTTTCCCGTATGGGGTGCCTTACTTAAACCAAGGTGCCTCGGGGCCAGTGCTAGTTTCCTAGATACTAGAGGAAAGCAAGCAAGGAAGGAGTAGAGAATCCAGTCACTTGACTTCATTATCCTCTTCAAACCGAGATTTTAAAGCAAGGACAAGGAAAAATTTCAAGGCTGCAGCCTTTCACAGTCCTCTGAGGGACAAAACTCAAATATAGTTCTTGCCTTGAAGGTGGTCACAAACAAAAAGGGTAAATGATCCTAAGGTTTACATATAGACCTAAAAGAGAGATACATACAATGGAAATTTAATCTTGTAATTCTTTGCAGGCAGCAGTAATTTATAGGTTAAAGTCCTGGTTGTAGTTTAATTATAAAGTATGTTCATTTATTAGTATTTATCACTATGGTGACTTCTTT